TGTGACGTGTCGGGTCACGGTGAGCGGCCCCCATACGTGGTGAGGGGTCTCCCTTGGGTCAACTCATCCGAAAATGATTACTTGGTGCAGCATGCGCTCTCCTGGGAAGACGGGAAGGCAGGCAGCCATGTGCGGTGCTACTCTGCACCCTCTTTCATTGTGCGCAGGGCCAACAAACAAACATCTGGCCGGTGCTGCTCTCATTATTATTATTGTTGTGCTTGATACCGTTGAGCAAGTGCACGTGCACACACACCTACAGAGATCCCCAGTGTATTCTGTTTGTGTGTGGCAGCAATATGTTCAGAAGCTCAATACCAATGGCGAGGTCTGATAGCCGTGACGAGAGGGCGTCAGGAAAGAGTTTGGTGTAGTTGCTATCCCTCCTGCGTGGAAGGAGCACAGACTACAGTGGTTTATTATACTCTTTGGTTGTTTCGGTAAAGTCACGTAGGTATAAAATAAAATAAATCACGACGTTTCGGGCGCGACACAAGCGTCCATCATCAGGTGGGAAAGCATGGTCTGCTGCTGAGGCAGACTGTTTCAAAAGGTTTGAAATGGGTGTAGCTCAAGGGTCATAAAGAAGTGGCCGGGGCTAGTGATGTTAATGTAAGAAATTATCATGTAACTGTAGAAAAGAAGGAGAAGAAGAGCGGCCTCCTCGACGAGGGAGTGCAACCCAATGGGTGTAATCCGAAGGGCCTGTGAGTATGAGAGTGTGTGGTGCCGCCACAGCGGAGCTGCTCCGTGGGGACCGTGCCCACCGCCGCGACGCCGTCACCGGGGAGCGACGACGCCGACGCTGCGCACCCCTCACCGCCCCCCACATGAATGCACGCATACCCCACGTAGAGCCGGGGAGGAAGGTCACCCGGCCAACAGGTTTTCGTCCAGAAGCCCCTACTGGGATCAAGCTTCGTGGTTTCCTACGGCTGGGAAATTGGGCGACCTACCCCCGAGGCTGAAGAGCACCGCGGCGCCGTGACCTGGGATTGTAATGGCATGGTCACGGCAGGGGCTGTTTAGCCACCGCGGATGGGACCACACACACACGAAACACGGGTCGGTGGACGAGTAGCGGAAAGAACAGAGAGCGGACGTCAAAAGGAGCACTGCGGTGACGTCACCAGAGCTGTGATTCGAGGGCGGGAAAATCCAGACCTCTGATTGGACAGGGGGGCACGGGGTGCGGGAACAGCGGGACGCCTTTGTTACAGGTAGGATTAGGGATCCAAATATTAAAGGGACAGGAATGGCCAGGCCTCTAAATGGACAGGGCAGCACGGGTGCCGGAGCAACTGAATGCCTTTTGTTATAGGTGAGATTACGGATCCGAATATCAAAGGGACAGGAATATCCCGGCCTCTGATTGGACAGGGGGGCGCGGGCGCAGGAGCAACTGAATGCCTTTTGTTATAGGTGGGATTATAGATCCGAATATCAAATGGCACGGGTGCACGGGTGCGGGCACCGCGGAATGCCTGTGTGATAGGGAGGATAAAATGAGGAGGATTGGGGCAGTGGGAGGCAGAGTTCTTCAAGTCATCGAGGTCCACGGAGCGTTGGAGCCGGCCGTTCGGATCGTCCGTGTGACGAGTTTCAACGCAGCCAGGCACGATCTTCCACGGAGACGACCCACAGCATCGCCCTTCTACAGCGTCAAGCGCATCAGATTGGAAGGAAGCGTAAGTAAGAGAGAGGTGAGTTTGGGCTAACTAAGCAGAGGGTAGGTAGCGGAGAGGCAGGCAGGATAAGTTGAGCCCAGGATCCCCAAGGGATAAGCTAAAGTCTGCTGACCCAGACAATCACGCGTAGTTTAGCGGGTTACTCGCGGTGAATAAAATATCTAGTGGGGGGATAAACTGTGTCGTGTGGTCTTTGTGAGTGTGAAGAGGAGGGTGGAGTGTCTTGTGTTCGCGTGCATGCGCGGTTGTTTACAACGAGGCAGAGTGCTTAGCGTGCGCGTGCCTACGCGGCTGTTTACGGGAGTGCTTAGCGTTCGCGTACCTGTGCGACTGTTTACGAGAGTGTCTTGCGGTCGCGTGCATGCGCGGTTGTTTATAGCAAAGCAGAGAACTAAGCGCCTGGTGTGCGCGTACACACGCGGCTGTTTAAACGGCCTTTAAATCGGAGCGGAGTGACTCCCTCCAATCAGCGGCGCGCGCACGGCAGACACCCCGGCCCTCTCACCCCTGACCCCAACTCCCTCGCGTGTGATTGGTGTACGGGGCTGGGCAGGTAGTGGCATCGGGTTCGTTAGTGCCGGGGCTCGTAGCACGGTGTGCGAGCGGATCCCGGGGGCTAAGCGCCGGCTGCGGAGTCACGCATCGTCGCGCTATATCCGTCTGTGTTCCAGCGAGACGAGGTTTACTTCGCGGGTACGCTCGCCACGGTACATCCGCCACCGATCTCGCGTAGCGCGCCGCAAGCATAAAGCGTACAAGCCCACTAATTGAGCCATGCCTACGCGGTCGGCAACAAAGTCAGGGGCACAGGGGGGCGAGGAGTTGGAGGTCGGTAACCCGAACTCCACAGAACAGCCGGGGGGTAGTAGTACGAATGTAACGGGGGAGTCGGGGGACAACGGCCCCGACAATTCAGTGATGGCGGGAGACGGTAGCCCCCACAAGTGCAATCCAAAGGCATGAGAGTGCAATGCAACGGACATGTGAGCATGAGAGATCTAAGAGAGACAAAGTCGAAATAACAGCTGACATATGCAGGTTGGATGGAAAAACAGTCTGCCTCAGCAGCAGACCATGCTATCCCACCTGATGATGGACGCTGGTGTTGCGTCCAAAACGTCGTGATTTATTTTATACCTACGTGACTTTACCGAAAGAATCAAAGAGTATGGATCCCTGCAGTCACGAAAGCTTCAAATCATGGTTTATTATAGTTTGGGTTACATGGCCATAATCGCACTATAGTGGTTTGTCTTTATTTTACATTTATGAAGGAGATGAGCACATCGGCCTGTTGATGTTCTGATGTGGCTGATGGATATACCAGTGTCTTAGAGGAATGTCACAGCCAGGAGGTGTGATGTTTGGGTCTCGAATGAGGTGTGTATTCTGGACGTCTGCGTTTTTCCAACCTGTTTGCACAGCAGTAGTGTTCTTCCAACTCTGCATGAAATTCTTGAATGGTGACAGCAGTGAAAATGCAGAAGAGGGATCGAGACTTGAGTGAGTGGCGAGGTGACATTGCTGGGGTCTTGGTTTGATGGGTAGGTGGTTGTCGTTTGCAGGAAAATGTGTACATTCCCTTACAGTTTGTGTTCCTCTGCGGATATTTGGTGGCAGAATGGATGCCAGAACAGGGAGTCAGGAGATTGGTGTGTCAGTTTTAGCGTTCAATGTTCTCTGGATAAAAACGTATTCACTCTTATACGGAATGCAACTTTTGATGGTGTCCTTTGTTGCTGGCTGCTTGGTATTTTGGCTGGCGGGGCAAGTGAATGCTGTTAGGGAGCACATGTGAATGCCAGTTCATTGCGTATGAGATATTGTGATCCAATGCGTTTGTCTCTCCAGTGCTGATGTTAGGTTGACACTCCTACACAGACACACACATATGCGGCCATGTGCACACCACAATCATTCGTCTTTGTGTTCACATGCAGTCAATTGCCACGGTTATTTTTTTAATAGCAACTGTCTTGACATCTTGCCTCGTGAAGACGGAAACCCCCGTACAAGCCAGGCTCAACGTGCCAAGCATGATGCTGCCGACGACATCACCTCCCGTTCAGCGGCACACATTGGTATAGGTGACATTCTTGCCTCCGCCCCTCCTACTTGTGTATATGTTATTTGATTACTAGATTAATCAATTGGATAACCGGTAGATTAAGTGATGACAGCACCTCAATAAATGGCATTTATTCCAGCTCTGTGATAAACATTCACACACGTCAGTTTAACACGTCGGCTTTTGCGACCAATATTATCCATAATACAGGTTTTTTCGGTTTAGATCGCGATTTAATCCAAAAAAAACCTCTATCATGAATTCGCACACATACAAGTTCAGACCCACAGTATATTTCACTCGCTGGCACAAGACTACAAAGCAATTAATGAACACGCAGCAATTCCAGCAGCACAAACACGTTGACTGGTGACAAAGCAGAGGGTGAACTATGTGCCACAGTGGATGCTTTAAATGAAACCTTCAGTTGTTTCTAAGAAGCGAGCACCATTGATGGCTTTACGAGCTATTTATCAGTGCCTCGGTGGTACATTGCACTGTTTGATGAAGCATAAAGTAACTGGGTAATATAATGAAATGCATTCTGGATGGAAGCAGCAACACAATGGAACTTTCTCATTGTCATAGAGGAAACTGGGGCTGTATCCAACTCATGTTCAGAGAGCGAGATGGGTCGTGTCATCGCAGGATCGCGGGTATGTTGTTGGCATGAGCCCTTTATCGGGCAGTGGATAATTCATAGCTGATGATGATTTATGTTTATCTAGTGAACTTGACAGAATTCTACAGAGCAACACATCAACTCAAAGCGGAGCGTCTCCGCTATGCAGCAGTGTGAATAAATACAAATCAATGTATATTGGTGTATTACGCAAAACATAAAACCTGTTGATCACTCACAGTATTGCACCATTCTTCATTTAAGCCTCAGGCATTTCCATATTAGAAGTTAACACCCGATGATAGATCTTGTTTTCTAAGATTAAAATAAGTGCAGAGTGCTGAAACATTTATGCTTTTCAAAGAGCGCAGTGCAACGCAGCACTTTCTCTGCATTATGAGTCGGTCTCTTTCGCACGGCAGGCTAGGAAAAGCAACGGTTGTTGATACGCGTTACAGTTCAAAGTTGAAGGCGAATACATTTTTTTCTTCATCCAACAATTCCAAGGAGGAGGCATCAGCAGTGGACACCACGATGTTTTGTTGCACGCGTGGCGCGCGTTCGTCGGTGACCGCGATCCTTGATCGCACCGTTTGCGCCCAAAGACGGACGCTCATCTTACCCCGTTGGAGCGCTGTGTGGCGAGGTCCGTAGTTGGTCGTGGAAGCGAGACAGCCCCCGGTGCTTCCACAGTCGGATCCTCAATGACGTTAGCGTCCGCCACGTCCACGGTGGCTCGTGCTGGTCACAACCAAAGACAAAGATTCCCCATGTGTAGACTCGACAGACTGTTGGGGCAAGTGCTATTAGCGAGCACCTATGAAGGCCGGCACGGCGCACGCGGGGGTGGGTGGCTAGCACCACGCCCGGTCGCCTTTGTCTCCCCAGTGACGATCTTTACACACCGGACCAGGTACTAAAAAAGGCTGAGTCGACCTCGGGGGAGGCCCAGGACCGGTTCAGATAACCGTCACTGGTGTTGGCCTTGAGCAGGAATCGAACTCGGGTCGCCGGGTTTGTAGCGCAAGGCGCTAACCACTCCACCACCAGCAGTGTTGTGATCAACGAGTGCCGGTGTCTTTATTTTCGGCTGCTCAAGAGGAGGCGCGAATCCAGAAAGGTTTCCCGTGGGGGTTCCATTAGGTATTGTTGGAGCAGCAGAGTGATATTTCTCTTAATCTTGTTCGCCAGCACAGGAAGCCAGAGGAGTGGAGGAGTTTAGGGTGCCGCTGATGGCACGAGGGACTGTATGATTTTGGTATCGACGAGGTGTGAGAGGTCGCACTCCAGACTGGAGCCCTGGACTCCACAGTAGAGTAGACACAGGACTTGCTTAAATTTCTGCAACGTGTGGGCGTTACTTCCCTACAATCTCACGTTTCTGAATCAGGTTTCCTCGTGCTTTTGTTTTTATGTTGGTTTGTTCGAGGTGGTTGTGGTGGTCTGGTCGAGAGTAACTCCTAGGGACCTGGGGTAGAACCTAGGAGAGGACCTGTACCGAATCCCTCAGGTCGGTCTTCACGTACGTTGCAAGGCCGACCTAATGCGGATGTAACTGTTTATATTTAAGCGAGGGTACTCTTGGTCCAGATTAGTGTTTATTTTTCCAGCGCCAGGACATGTTTTTAAACTTGAGAAACTTTGTGATGCGATGGCATTTTGCACCAGAGATGCCCTCAATGTTCAGCTGCATAATTTGTAGCAACGAGGGCCGGAATTCACATTTCATTGGGAAGGGCCGCTTTTACTGTTACTAGGATACCTTTGTCGGGCATTTGGGCGTGGATTTGATGACATTCGTTGTGCTTTCGCACGCAGCAGGGAACGCGGTGAGCAGACTTTCATCTCCTCCCCCTATCAGACAGCAAACTGCTGTAAAACATTTTTTTGGGAGGAGAGCAGTGGTACAATGGTTAGCGCACTGCACAACTAACCCAGTAACCTGGGTTCAAGCCCAGGTCACCGCTAATATCAGTAACATCGATCATGGGCTCACATTCACCTACTTGCACTGACCAGCTTGGTGAGGTATGGTCATATATTCCCGATGACTAACATGGGATCGAGGAGGCCTTCATTCAGCAGGGGATAGACAAGGGCTGTACAGTATAACATAAAATAAGTACAGTATTTAACGAAACCAAATTTGGACAAATGTACAAAAAAATTGCCAGCACCACTGAGATGCTGGGTTCAAATCCAAATGTCAACTACCTGTGAGTAAACCAACTTCTCAAAAATATCTAGTTGATGGTCTCAGTGGCTTAACAAAAAGGCTGTTACAATACATTTGGTTTTTCACTCAATTTGTTTGATTGCCATGCCATAGACGCTCTTTGCAGGGCATTAAAAAGGTATGAGCCTCGTGCAGATAAACACGTATATTTAAACGACTTTAAAAGTAGTTATGTGATTTCATCATCCGGGGTTGATTTCTGACAGGGTAATACACTGTCAGCTGCGAGATTTACGTCTTCATCTGTTGACTGACAACGATTGGACAAGCGACATTAAATTTGGAGGAAATAAATATAAAATAGATATATGAAAATTTAATTGCTATTATTTTGAGAAGTTAACTTTTCAGTGTTTCAAAAGTCATGGCATGATGAATTTTTAAATGGTAATTTTTTATATTCAAAATGATGCACACTTTTTACAAAAATACAAAAAATAATAGTTTTTTACGTGGCAGTGGTGACTAAAAATAATCAGACGGATATTGTTAAAATAAAATATCTGCACTTTAACAATTCAATGGTTGAATCCCATGCAGTAATTTTTTCCTTCTCTCTTTTAGTATTTTTTAACTCTACTGCACATTTTGTTTGAATGTATGAGACACTAAGTAGGTTCAAATTTCGATTTAAAGATTTCGTGACTGCAAGGATTCATCTTCTTTGATTCTTTCGGTAAAGTCACGTAGAATGAGAATAAAATAATAAAATAAAACAATAACATTCTCACGACGTTTCGGCCACAACACAAGTGGCCTTCCTCAGGTGAAAGGGACAAACCTGTTGGGACGACAGCTTCAAGCTCTGTCCTTTTCACCTGAAGAAGGCCACTTGTGTTGTGGCCGAAACGTCGTGAGAATTTTATTGTTTTATTTTATTATTATTATATTCTCATTCTACGTGACTTTACCGAAAGAACCAAAGAAGATAGGTTAAAATTGTAGCATACTGTGCATATGTATACATGTACACATAAAGCAGTGGTTTCACACTTTCATGAACCAGCCAAGCCAATTATAGTGGCTGTTTGCCCTGACTGCTACTAATGGAGACGTCAACACGTTTTTGGAATAAAAAAAATCAGATAATGAAAATGAACATTTTCCATCGCTTGAATTGGAATTCCTTATGTGTTTTAAAATTGCATTGTGCAATGTTCCACACATTTTTATATAAACACCAACGCTCTTACATAAACACAATTCTGCTTGCTCCATCGCAATGGAGAAAAATATAAAAATGTGTTGTATAGTTTTGTATATTTTCTCGAAATTACACCGTCAAACCGGCAGTCATAAATTGAGACAATTGCTCGGAGTATGACTGCGAATGCACAATGGGAGGTTGTTTATGGGCATGTCCTGGAATTTATTAAATGCCATCGCGGTGCAATACAAAGCCAGATCTTCCATGACCAGTGTGTGTGTGTACATCAAATTCCTATTTCTCATAAAGGCTACTTGGCCCCAGAGAAGTCGCCCGGCATGGGATCAATGGGGCATGTCGGATAATGCTGGGTGGAGCCCAACGCCAGGAAACGCAGATGCCACGCTGTAATGAGGGCCTTGGAGGTGGTTTCCCCGCAGCAGCTGTGGAAAATGTCACGCTGTAAACTTCTGGCACCTGTGCGAATTTGAGTCAGCTCCAATCCTCACTCCCAGTGTTGGTTAGTTATGTTTCGTAGAATGTTAACGGATAACGCGGAAGCTGCAGAGAGAGGGATAAACAAAAATACCAGTGCTTTAAAGCTCTTTGGACTACGTGTGACAATTATTTATAGAAAGTGAAATTAAAATTACCCCTTGTGTGCGATACAGCAGCAGCTGTCTTCAGCATTCGTCTAAGGCGGGATTATTGTTTTGGCATAGTTTAACTTAGTAAATTTGGTCGCTAAAATGTAATTTCTTCAATGGGGCCACTTTGAGTTGACACCACCACAAATGAGACTTGTTGATACTTTTGTGGTTTAATGTTTGAGCATTGTATACTTACAACGATGGGGTCGCCGGTTTGATCTCTCTGTGTGGTTAAGGTGAAACAATGGGCAAATGTTTAAAATCCCCTGCCCCCACATCTGTCCACTCAGCAGTATATATGAGTACACCAGAGTCAGTCGATGGGGAGGTCAAAATTGTCTGGCCAGCGTGGAAGAGTAGGCCAAATATCCACGAGAGGGGGGCTCTCTCATTCGTGTAGGGCCTTCCTCCGGCAATGGTGTGACCAAAACATTGCAGGGCTGCACCTTTTTCTTTTATAATTGGCTTAATTCATATTAGCAGATGGCTTTGGTAAAATTACAGCGAGATAGCAGGTGTTTTTGATCGTAAATGGCATACATTATACATGATATGACATCGGCCTGGATATATTAAAACATTTAAAGTCCGAAGTATTGATAAGACACTAGCGAGAAGTACCCGGCGTTGCCCGGGCGAAAAAGACACACACAAACAACGACTTATACACACACACACACACATCGACCTACACACACAAACACATCGACCCACACACACACACATTGACTCATGCACACACATACATAGACTCACAGACACATCGACTTACACGCACACACATTTGGACTTACACATACACACACATCGACTTAAACACACACATCGACTCACACACGCACATAGAGCCACACACACATCCACTTACCCGCAGACATATCGACGTACACACAAATAGCGACACACACATAGACTGACATACACACATGGACTTACACACACATGGACTTACACACACACATCGACATACATACACACAAACACATCGATTTACACACACACACACGGACGCACACACAGATCAACTTACACACATACATCGACCCACGCACACACACACATCGACTTGCACACACACACACACACATATGGATTCACACACACACATCGACTTACAAACACACAGCGACTCACACACACACATGGTCTTACACACACATACATCGACTCACACACATCGAATTACACGCAATTTTTTTTTATATTTTCACTTACACACACATACACCGACTTACACACATCGATTTACACGCACACAAATTAGTTTGTATGTTCACTTACACACACATTGACTCACACACACACATGGACCTACACACACACACACAAAGAAATAAACTTACACACTCACATGGAGCCATGCACACACATCAACTAACACACACACATATCGACTCACGCACAAACATCGACTCTCACACACACACACATTGACTCACACACACACACATGGACTTACACACACACACACACATCCACTCACACACATCGAATTACACGCAATTATTTTTTATATTTTCACTTACACACACATACACCAACTTACACACATCGATTTACACGCACACAAATTTGTTTGAATTTTCACTTACACACATCGACTGACACACACACACACACATCGACTTATACACACTCACACACATGGACTCACACACACATATCGACGTACACACACACATTGACTGACACACATCGATCCACACACAGACACATCGACGTACACACACACACGTCGACTTACAAACGCTCATGGACTCACGCAGACACACATTTCGATGTACAAAGACACACATCGACTGACACAGATGGACCCACACACACACACATCGTCTAAAACACACTTCGACTTAAACACACACATACATAGACTCACACGCACATGGAACTACGCACACACATATAGACTTACACACACACATCGACTTAAACACACACCGCACACACACACGGACGTACACATATAAAACAGCAACTGTCGCACACACACACATTGACTTGCACACACATTGACGTACACACACACACGGACTCACACGCACGCATGGACGCACACTCGCACACTCTAACTATGATATAGACTTAAATAAGTTCGTAAATAATAGTTTTCTATGCACACGACTTGGTCGAAGGAAGCAAGGCGAGAGGGGAAATCCACGCGTGTATAATAAGTAATTAGCGACTGCGAGGGTGTTCTGCCATTTTGGTGCAAACATTTGCCGCGAGCAAGAGCGGCAAATAAATGAAAGTCAACGAATACAAAATGAACCGAACCTACCTGTAACTATGAGCAGATGCGCACCAATCAAGTGTCATTGACATACCGCCACTGCTCAACCCCCGTACTGAGGGAGCAAGTGTAGATATGATAGAATGAAGACGTAATTGAGTATATTTATTGGGTTGCCCCTGTGCAGTAAGTGATATTGCGTGGCTGCTGATGCCTCAAGAGTACACAAAAAGGCTCTTCTTACCCTCAAACCCGGTTTTTATGAGCAGGACAGCGATATTTAGAAATGTCCCTATTTTCAAAGAGAAAACGTGTGCATAAGTGTCATGGTCTCACGTTAAGACGTGGTCGCTAAAGCAAATATAGTGGTAGTCGAGGAGAAATATCGTGTTACTTAGGGGAAAACATTGCTTGATCCCTGTCATTAAATGTCTTACCTTTAAAAGGCAATTTGTAATGAGTAAACAGTCATGATAATGAATGTTTGAAGAGAGCTGTAAATCTGTTACCTTGCGCAGTGTCCACACGAAAGATAATTCCCCCCTCACCCCCACCGAACGGGTGTGACTTGGTAGGGTCGAACATGCGCTAGCTAATAAGTAAATAACAAAAAACAGCACTAAATCGCTAATTGAACTACTTTAAATGTGACGGACGCTAAATCGGAATAGCGCTGGCTCAGCACGGGGCTTATGGCGTGGTACCTGGCTACTTTTTATAAACGTGAACCCCACGGTTTGCGAGCCAAATCCTACACAAGTTTCGGCCACACACAGAGACAAAAAATGCTTTTTATAGGTAAAAAAAAGATAAGGCGAAATAATAACATTGGTGTGTAGAAATTGTTGATAATCATCACATGGATATGGCGCTTAGTATAGTGTAGCTCTAGCGTCTACAGAACAAATATCTAAAATCCTTACACGTTTTTACTCAGTGCTGTAGTTATTACTTTCAGCTTAGATCAGACTGCGATGCTGGCTCCGTTTTTTTAAAAAATATGTTACCAAATGACCATATCTTGACTTCAAAAGAGATGTGTCGACAATTATCCACCGTGCTGTTAAAGTAAGCTGGCATTGTGCACACATTCACACACATAAGTAATTTGCAAATCTAATCAGAAAGTGTGCGTAAATTTGATTAAGTATCCCTTACAAAGGGTAACTTAAAATTATACAGTTATTCGCGTTTAAGCTGCACACTCGAGTACAATGTGTGAGGTTTTTTTTTTCTTTGTGAGGACAGCTATAAATAATAAATACCATCCTCTCAACAAACAATTGATTTATCGCTCCTTTAGGTCAATGCAATTCAGAATATAGTTCCTTGTAATTACCTTACATTTTAGAGGCCTCTGCATATGGGGTGCACTGCGTGTAATTAACTCAAAGTCGCCTTCTGTTGTTTTTATATTATGTTAAATGTTTCATCTAGACATGCGGTAACGTGATGTTTGCTTTAATTGGAAGTGGAGCTGACATAGCCTCTAAGTGGGCCAAGGTCCGTACGGTGTCGGAAATGGTTTAAGTTTAATTTTGCAACAATGGTGACAGTGGGCGCATCCTGTCTACCGCTTTCATGGATTCTGGTTTGCTTTATTGCACGAGACCACTTGGATCTGTTGAACTCCACTTAGCGTGCCATATTTAATTATTTCAACTATTAGCACATTTTGCGGCACCTTTATTGTCCAGCTATGGTTATCGCGAGGGCTCCTAAATGAATAAATAAGTGGTGACCAGGCCTGCTGATTGGCCAGAGTCTTGCCAATTATTGATTTTAAATCACTCTCAGTCGGTAATTTGTTACTTCCCACGTAGCGGACTTGCCCGAGGAAACGGTTGCAGTCTTGGAGTTCCCGTAATCTGCTGGGAAGATTGATAGGAGACTGTTGAATGGGCAAACAGTATTGAACCAAACACAATCAGCCTCCCACGTGAAAATCCATGATCAGCCCAACGTGCAGGCCACTTGTCAAAGCTTTTGCTTACGATATTTAAATAGATTGGTGATCATTACGGCAAAGCATCTCACTTCACTCCGTCAAAGAAAACTTGCGCATTGCTCGCAGTCGCAATTAAGGGTTGACGGCACGTGACGCGAAAACAAAGGGGTGTTTTCCTGTGAAACGGTCGAGATGGAAAAAGGTTATCACGAAAGTCGCTTTTGACACGATTGAACCATTTAGAGAAAATAATGCGCTTCGGACGGTCTAATCGATACACCACCTGCAGGACGTGATTATGTATTCTTCGAGTTGAACGATGACCCACGATCCTGCTACTTTTTCCTCTCTCCGTCTCGTTCGCTTTGTAAAATGAATACACAAATGTGCCTTCTTTCCCCACGATGCCCATGTCCCGCTGTTTTGCACAGCGTCTTGGGAAGTGGTTGCATTTATGAGCTTTATAATGTATCGAAAAGTGCCCAACTACAGTAGTCCACGGGGCGGTGATTATAATGTGCTGAGTTTTTTGTATATCGTACTGCACGTCGATGGGGAAGATGTTCGACGAACTGAATTGAGTTCCCGAAGAAGCTTCCAATACATGGAGTGAAACGTCAGACATTCTCACAAACAACACCGAGTACAAACCGAGAACACACCGGAGACCTTTACTGCACAATCGTGAGCTTATATAATAATTGCAGGTGGTCGTTTGAGCCTAAATGCTCATGCGCGTCGGATTGCATTCACAAATACAATAATCAGTGGCAATCTTGAGAATCTGGAGACCCACAAAAAAAACCCCTAACAGAGCCCTAAGGCATCACTTTTTATATTACCCCATACAAATACACATACGTATATGCGTTTATAATGGACACTTTATCAGCATAATAATTAATTAAATGCTAAACGAACCGCCTATTGATTAATCCATTCCTGTGCATCAATCTGGGGGCCTCTCCGACGTTGAGGCCTCCTTTGACAGAAATCTAAGGCAGCTCTCTGCGAAACTGCTGTGAGCAGCATATTTTCACAGCAGTGCAGTCTGCTTTTGCCGTCGCCACCGACGCTTGAACTCTGAAGAGAGAGGCACTCCTGAGCCTATTATACCAACATTGAAATGGAAAATAAAACGTAGCACGATGAGTATGTCCAACATGTCACGTTGAATGCTGAAAAAAATCATCAGCATTGAAAGGAAAGGGAACCCATCTCATGCATTTCTTTGTTTTAATATAAAGATTGCATATGGGCAACAACAAAAATAACAGCAAAAATGTAAGTGCTCACATTTCAAGGACATTTAGGTTTCTTTATTTATATACATCTGCCATGTTCTGCGTCAAACACACACACACACACTGCGCAGTCAAGGTCTCACCCCGGGGCTTGCGTAGTGTTGAGAAATCCAGACGCCAGCGATGCCCCCGTGGGAGGATGTCGGCTCCGTGGGGCGGCATGGCCAGCACGACAGATGCTGCCTATCCACACGAGGCCCGCTGCACGCTGTCTCTGCGGGATCAGCGAGGGGAGCAAGAGGCCAAGGGTGCAGAACCAAACACTCGCTCACGCCGAGCTCTGCGAGGCGCGTGTGCGTGTGTGCGTGTGTGCGCGTGTTGATGATCTCCAAATAATTTATGACATCGTTGTTTTTAGGATAGATATGTTTAAAAAAAAAGTTCCTGCCCCCGTTAGTGTTGTAACAATGTCGTGATCCACTACGACCTGTGTTTTTGCCTTCGCTGCTAATAGTCATCAAAACCAACGGGAGGGTGGGCGGTCAGTTAATGCTTTGTATGTTGCCACTTTTATTTTGTGCCCTTTCGGAGCGGGTTAAAGTAAAGTGTGTGGGGCGGCCACAGAGGCGGTGGGTTGGGAATGAGGCATACAACTGGGAACATGTGGGAACAACAATCTAGGCCACGTATTAGTAAAATAGGATGGATTTAACGTCACAGGGAACACGTGTGGACCGTGGGTTCTTTGAATGGAAACAATCGTTCTACCAAATGGAATTTGAAGGGTATGTTGCAGCAAAAAAAATAATAATACCCCAACACTGTTCATCACCAGACAGGAGTAGCAGGACACAAAGTGACTTTGAAGGTGACAGCAGCTCACCACGAGAGAAAATGGTGAGCCCACCACCCCTTCTTTCGCTGCGGTGGGGTGCCAGACTGCCGTAGCCCAAATACACAGCAGGCATCTGATGCGACATGTCCTTTCGCTTGCCTTCACACTTCCATTGCATTGTCATATCTTGGCTGCAGTATTTGGACAGCTCTCACGAAGTGTTTTCTGGCTTCTCGTGCCGTCTCTGCGGCGCTCCTTGTTCCTGGACACAAAAAGGGAATTGCTGCAGATTGTTTCAGAGCCACATTGGCGGATGATCCTCTCTTTACTTTTCACACGCCGGTCGGACCATTCTTACATTGACTTCTTTTTTTGGTGGGGGGGTTCTTTGTTACATCTGTGCGTCGGGTTTCCTTTCTTCATGCCTCTCCCTCGCGTTGCGTTGAGCTTGCGTCGGGCAGCTCGCTGCCTTATCATGACGGTCAGCACGCATCCAAGCATCGCTTTGTGTGTCTTTCATCTTGACTGCAATCTGGGCCGCCTGCTCGCCCTCACACTGCAGCTCTTGCTTTGAATAAATCCGTTGGTCTCTCTCGCGCTGTTGTTCATACATTTTGGTCATTGTTGTTTACTACAATTAATGCTCTGTTTTGAATATCACGATTATTCTTGAAACATTTTAACCCCACTACATTTACACTGCGCCACAAATATGGTTTCATTGCAGGTGTGAAAGTTAATTTGCACATCTCTGCCGTGGCAGCTCAAACAAAATTGTATTAGCTCTGATGGGATTACAGGCTGGGTGTGGTGAGAGTGTTGGGGGAAATCGCCCCCTTGGCCGATTATAGCCATCATTAGCATACAGAGGCGCACCACGATTCGTTTGGAATAACCAATTGTAGGGAGTGGCACAAGCAAAGCAGTTGACAGCCGTCTGTGATTTTTAAAATTTTCCGTGTTCTCCGGATTATGAGACGCACTTTTTTCAACCCCCCCCCCCCCTCCGTATTTGTAATCGAATGTTGGGCGGTGCGCAGTGGCGGGTCGTGACATTTCCACTAAGTGGGGCTGTTGTGAGTGACCTCCGAAAAGATGGTGTTCTAATTACGAAAAACCTCGTCAAGTTATTGGCCTTCCCGTGAAAGTGATATAACTGTATTGTCTACCAACGTTAGACATTTTTAAACAATACGAAACAAAACAACAACGCAACTCAAATGCTGTCCCCATGACCCTCAAGTCCACACGACATTACGTCTTTGACTGCCAACAGCCGTGGACCTGATATATTTGCACAGTGCAGCCTAGCGTTGTGACATCGTAATTACAGCCATGGGCGACTTTTTTCACCGCTATGAATGGGCCTCAAACGGCGTGGCTAAAATGCTCGAAGCTCATCGCAATGAACGGAGGGGGACATCTCTCACTCGGACGCCTTCACAGCCGCCCCGAGACCTCCCCGAGGCACAAATCAGACGGTGGCGTTGCAGCGGTTTCGAATATGAACAACTTAAAATGTTATCTTCATTGGGCAATTCACATTGTATATGTATGGTAGAGTGGACGCTCAATATGTGCACACCTTATACAATCACAGTTCGGATGTAAGCAACATTTACATCATAGACCGATTAGGTGCGAACTAGGTTCAACATACATATGTACACTGGTGGGGGAAGGCATGGGGCAGCTTCTTTTATAAGCACACTTGGAATATAAGCACACTACTGGCCTTAACTACCAGGGGGTGTGTTCATATCCTGCTTCTACTGTATCGTACAAATGTTGTTTAATGAACACTTTAACGGATGGACTTGCATTTATTTAGGAGCAATGGTGGCAAGTGAATTTTACAAGAGGTTACATTTTGCAAGGGGGAAGGCCTTCACTCACGAGCACCGTGATGATGATCATTGATCTTTAATGCAGTACATCACAAGCAAAACCAACCGGCTGACACTGAGAATTATCACGCAATAAAATAAAATGTCATCCTACAGATCCAACCATGCTTCCCCGAACACCCTGAATACCGTTTAAGCAATGTGCTGACACTTCTATGGAGCAGGAAGGAGCACATCCCTGTATTTATTGTGGAGTAGCTGCAGTCGGCGTTTCTTATTCCTACGACATCTACAAGGGTGCAGGGTTGATGCCAACATATTTGAAATATCCTCTGCAGGGAAACCAACTCCGCTTTGAGTGCTGAATTATGATTGCTTAAGGGGGGTGGGCAGGAGGGGAACGGCCTGGAGAAAATCCATGCATATGAGTGGAAAATAATTGATATGATTTATCGTCTTTCATTTTAACCTTGCAGGGAAAAAAGTAGTGCTTGGCCATGCTGCCAGGTCCTTCCAATTATGGACACCGCACATACTCAAATATAGACAATGCTACAAACATGTTGTACATTTCTGTATTTTTTTAAAGACACGAGGAACTCCAGATGGTCTAGTATGTACATCTGTTGTAAGTACAGGCTTGACATATTCTATATCACCTTAACTTTAAATTAGACACCTGCCCGGCACACTGCCATGCTATGCCTTTGTGAAGTGGGCGCTTGGATGTACACGAACCAGACGCCTATTGCAGCGGATGTGACGATCAGAAATGACAATTCGGCACGGCTCTCCAAGCAGCCATGTGTGTGGTACGCATATATATTGGAACCATAGACATAGCTTTTTTTTCCAAAGCCATCATTACCACTGATTAAAAATGCTGTACATTGTACTGATGTTTGTGAAATGAGCAAGAGATCGATTTTGTTGTCTAATTTATCAATTCTTTCCATGTTTTTTTTTAACACCCACAATAACGCTCATACATCAAATGAAAGTAATCATTTGCAACCCTTTGTCAATCCACCGCTGAATGTAGGCCTATTGTGTTTGAAATGAAGGTGGCGTTGATCGTATTTCCACAAATTGACCAGTGCAGATTGGTAAGGCTGGCGGTGATGTTAAGTCAGAGCGAGGAATAAAACTCAGGTGACCAGGTTCACAACACTTATAACCATATAACCACTGCTCTGCCCCAGAGATGCAATTATGCTCAATCAAGTAATTTCCAATTCCTGGAAAATGTAGTGATTCAGTGTCTTAACGCACGGCCTGTGTGCTTGACCAGCTTTTTCTCTTCTCTCGGGTTGAAACATAAAAATACGTACAATACCTTACATCTTCAACACGCTCACTCATGCGGCTTCTTTTTCGAATAAAGTCAACGCTGAAATGATTGCGATCATTCGTGGACGCGCTGAGCATGCCATTTCAACAACATTTGTGTCACCTCTCAAACACAAAGGCATCTAGAGTGTATATACAGTACCAACGTACTCTATTTTATTTATGCTCATCTGTACGGAATGATGTTACAGCAGCCAATACGTTTTGGTGACGTGAACACTGCCCATGCGCGAAGCTGGATGCACTATTACAAAGACAAAGTGTCACCCCCCCGTGTAGCCTTGACAGACTTCTGGGGCAAGAGTTGTTAGCGAGCACCTATGAATATCGACACAGTACACGAGGGGGTGGGTGGTTAGTACCACGCCTGACCGCCTTCGTCTCCCCAGTGGACACACTGGACCAGGTACTCATTAGAGGCTGAGTCGACCTAAGGGAGGCCCAGTGCTGGTTCAGGTAATCGTCACTTGTGATGGCCGTGAGCGGGAGTCGAACGGGTCGCTGGGTTCGTCGCGTCATCAACCCCACTATCGCACTGTTGCATACACACGTGCATGTGTATATTCAACGTTGTGTGCTAGCATAGTACTTTGTTGCAAAAAAAAGCTACATTAACTCATAATTAGATGATTAAATATTTACTATATCAGAAACAAATATCTCCTTCACAACTAATGTATAACAAAAATAGATTTTAAAAAAGTCACCATTGTATTTTCGCAATTTTTATTTTATATGCTCATGAAGTAGCAGTGACATCACCACGGCATATGTGCCTGGCTAGGTGCACTTTGAGACCACGTGCAGTGTCGATGGCTCACTGGCAGGTATACAGAACAGGCTCAGGTGTTATGGGTTAACTGACTGAGATATCCGACTGGCATATAAGCATGAGGTGGCTCACACTGACACGAATGCTAATGGCCACACGTGAACATGCGCGCAGCATACACAGAAATCAACCCAAGCGTCGTGTATCCAGGCTGTAACATGGTCAGGGGATTTAGAAAGTAACCCGTACTACGACTGGTTTCAGAAAATAAATCAGAAAGCCCCCCCCCCCCCACCCACCTCCCGCGGATCAGCCCATGTCAACTGGTGTATTGTTTGGTGTTGCTGTTGTTAAAAATTTAATAGGGGGAAAAAAGGGATTGCAGCCAAAGTGCTCTTGAAATATTAATGTCAGGTATGAAACATTCGCACCCATGCAAACAAAAGCAGGCAATGAGACTTCACGTAGCCGAGGACACGGTGTTTATTATTATGCAAGCAGAGAACATATGCTTCTTCTTCCTCCTT